ATGCGTTCGTAGTATGACAAAACAAAAACGACATACACACATCTCTTCATGATTTTCCTCATCAATCTGTTTGTAGGTCCATTTCATCAAATAGATCGAGATATATGATGAAGATTAAAAATAAAGCTTAACTCTTCTTCATAGAATATGTGTCTACCTAGTTGAATCCCACTAGAAATAATATCTAGTGTGAACCCATTAGTTCCTAACACCAAAAAATAAATGACATTCAAGACAATTACTCTCTTTTTTTTGCTATAGACTAGCATCACAAAATGAGGTATTATTAGTAAGATTGGTATTGCTACCTGTTGAGTCTCCTGTGGCAGCAAAACTTCCATAAAATGGAAGGCTGATTGAGGAAGCAAAAATTGTTTTAGTTGATAAACAAAAACATAGAGCAGAAAAAACAAGACAGTCAATGTAGGCATAACTCGATTCATCCTTTTTTCGAGAGAAAGAAAGAAAATAGAGAAGAAGAGAAGAAATAGAGTAGTGTGGACGGACTGTGGAGAGAAAAATGAATTTGAATGCCTTATATAAGAGAAAGAAACCAACTCAAGTGGCATTGCCTATGGATCCCACCTCAAATGCTCACACTATATTCCCCTAGTGGTGTGATACCCTCAAATGCTCACACTATATTACTCTAATAATGTGCTACCCTCAAATATTACCCTAATGGTGTGATGCTCAAATGCTCACACTATATTGGTGTGATGCATGGTAATGGATCTCACACCATGTAACTGTCAGATGATCTTTCTTGTAAAACACTATATACTCCCATGCACATTTATAATTAATTATTATATTGTATGTATGAGTAGAGATAAGTTGAAAAAGTTCGTGAAGCATTCCATTTTTTTCAGCTGATTGATTAAAATTAACTTAATTCAGCATCAAACATTAAAAATAGTTCACCACGTGAGTGAAGAAGCATTTCATGTTTTTACAATGCTTTCGCAGAAGTAAATCTTTAATCAATTGCCAGATAGTAAAAATTAATTTGTTGATTAGTGAAAAGAGCTAACAAGCTATATGGTGTGAAGTGATCTATTAGTTAGTTAGAAGAAAGCTGATGTGGCATTAGTTGGTTACTAAGAGTTAGTTGAGTAGTACATGCATATATAGATAGTTAGAATGGTGTGATCTTTTAGATTGTCTAGATTCAATGTAACAGAACTATCTTTGAATAATATTCTCTTCATCTTCTTCAATTCTCCCTCTTCTCTTCTGTAAATCTGTATAGCTTAAACTCCATTTACAGAGTTATCATGGTATCAGAGCTGCGATCGTAGCTAGTTTAAAGGCATAAAATCGACTTCTGATGCTCAGATTTACCAGCAGTCAAAGGTGATTTCGAAAAAAGCATCCAAAGTCATTGTAATGGCAATTGGTGGTTCAAGTGAAAGTGACAGAGTTGATAATGGTGGAGCTGGTAATGGTACTACTGGCAAAACCTAGTTTCCAGTGATTGATCACAATCACCCACTCTATCTTCAACATACTGATACTCCAGGTAGTTCATTAATCTCACTACAGTTAACAGTTAACAAGTTCTGAGAACTATGCTCTATGGATTAGATCATTTAGAATTGGACTGGTAGGTTGAAGCAAATTAGGATTCGTAGATGGTAGGTTTCCTAAATCTAAATTTGAAACTGAGTTACATGATCAATGGGAGAAATGTAACGCAGTAGTGCTAAGTTGGATAATGAATGATGTCAGGCCTAGGTTGATTAGCTCTGTTGTATATGCATCAGATGCAAGGAACGTATGGCTTGATCTAAGGGAACGTTTTGATATTGTTAATGTCTAGGATCTTTCAATTACATAGAGAGATTCACACTCTTGTTAGTGGGGTAAGAAAGTGGGCCTTTAATAAAGTTTGTCTTATCAATAATGAGTCCCACGCATGTCAATTTCATCAAAATGGGCCTCATATGTAATGGACTTATCACCAGGGCCAGGAATCTTGATGGGGCCTAGAACTTTATGTGTGCATATTTGCACTAATATTGCACAAATAACCAATTTGAGGATTCTTATTTAAAGTATAATTGAAATTCATGAATTTTCGTAAGTCTATTCGTTGTTTTGTCAAAATTAAATTTCAGACAAAATAATTGAAGTTTTTGTATAAATTTTACTCAATAATATGAAGCTGGTTATAACACTCTTCCTTTTTTTCGACTTCAAATCTTGATCGAATCCTTCTTGAAGAATATGAAAAATTATATATATGTAGGACCACTCTAACGTATCCCTTACCCATTAATCAAATTTAAGTGTGTGTTATTCATTGCTAAACAGTATGGAGAATATGAAGAGTTGCATTGAATAATCAAATGTAGACCAATTAATTACGGGAAATAAATAGTTTTGAGAATAGGAAGAGTTAGATTGAATAATCAAATGTAGACTAATTAATTAATATTTTGGAGAATAGGAAGAGTTGCATTGACTAATGAAAGAAAAGGTTCAAGGAATGCAAATTGAATAACATAAACGGAACCACAACAACTTAAAATATACAATACTCATGCTAATAACATGAACGGAACTACAACAACTTAACAAATACAATACTCCTCCTAATATCATAAACATAACAGATAACATAAACAACTTATACTAGGTGTGCGTCCCAGTTGACATGCATGCAAAAAACTTAGAATTAGCACATAATAATAATAATAATAATTAAGATAAAATACATACCGAAAGCATATCAATATGTGGGGATCATTATAGCGAAATACCTAACAAAGACATAATATAATCATTTAATATCAGAATGAACAAAAGTAATATGAAATTAATTAAACTTATACAATTTTATATTTAATTGTTTTATAGTAACATTTTTAATTTATAGAAGGGTAAAACCGTAATTCAACTTTCAACTTTTTTTGTTCCCACTTTTATATAAATATATAATATGATATAATACATACATATACATATATATATATATATATATATATTAGAGAGAGAGAGAGATTATAGATGATAAATATTATTGTATTAAATTAGATAGTTAATTAGGAATTAATCTAAGGAAGTCTAAAAGCAAAAAGTTAAAGTGTAGTTGTTGGACTTCATATTCCACCACTATGTAATTAAAATATGTACACCACTATATATATATATATATAGAGAGAGAGAGAGAGAGAGAAAGAGATTATAGATGATAAATGTTATTAAATTAGATAGTTAATTAGGAATTAATCTAAGGAAATCTAAAAGCCATTAACATTTTAATTAAACTTATACAATTTGATATTTAATTGTTTTATAACATTTTAATTTATAGAAGGGATAAAACCGTAATTCAACTTTCAACTTTCTTTGTTCCCACTTTTAGTAATAATAATAATAATATATGAGATAATAGTCTTTGGGCACATTCCATGCTGATTAATAAAAAATTATTTAAAATGGTACAGAATGAATTAGTATTTTGCAAAAGTTATAAAAAATATAATCGGAATGCATATGTATATATATATTGGAGGTATAGTAAATCACCATCAATTTCATGGTGTACATCTATAAAAATAAAAAATAAAAGTAAAGAGTTAATTATGATAAAGATATTTAGTAATTGTTGGCAATATAAATTTGACAAGAAAAGATATTAGTTGAATTATTTAATATAAGAGTATATATTATAACAAATAAAAGAAGAAAATGATAGAAAAATACGGACCCATTTTCAAAATATGATTTTTATATTGACTCAATTGAACTAATTTTGTCTTCACTGTCAAATAAACAACTTCATAGGGAATCTACAGAGGAAAAAAAACACGAGGATTACAAGGAAAACATAAAAGATTCTACATTGATATAATTCGTTCAAAGTTTAATAAAATGGTATAGTTGTAATAATTTTATTAATTCACCCCTTAAAAAGCTTCTTCAGAATTTTATAAATAAATGGGAACACTTTTAAAAAGAATTATCATTGTAAGGGTAACACAGAAAAAAATTAATTAATGTTTTCTCGATTTAGTAAGGTGGACAACTATTTTTAGTAAGATGATCAACTAATATAGGACGGAGAAAGTATTAATATCAAAGGTTTAAGACGTGATCCTTCTTTTTTATTGTGCTCAATTTTCAAGAGACATTTATTAAAATAAAACAATTTAGTAAACTACACATTATATTTATTATTTTCTTAATACGTAATTTTTTTTTATGTAGAAATACGTAATTTATTACTAAGATACATTTTATTTTAGAACGAATTGAGTAGTTTTATGATTATATACTATCTCCTTTGAAATTGTATCACATAATTGTGCTTTATGAGGATTCACTAGCATTGGTTTATTTATTTTTTGAAATTAAACATTATGAACTTTGTATTCTAGAAAATTAATTGACCTTATAGTAGATCCTTTTCTGAGTTTATAAAAGTGCTTTTTTTAAAAATAAAAATGTGTATTCTAATTTATTTATTTTTTGACATTATAGCACCGCTAAGTCCTTATCTGAGGTTTATTAAAAACAATCTCTCTACCTTTCAAGATAGGGGTAAGGTATAAGTTAACTCTACTTTCTCCATACTCCACTAATGAGATTATACTGGATATGTTATTGTCGTTTTATAACTTGAAGTTGATTATTGTTTATTTGCAGTTTGAAGGTTACGTAAAGCTTCTCATAGTTGTTTCGTGATGATATTGTGGAGACTAACAAACTAAGTTAGAGTATTGTGTATATTACTCAAAATTAATGAAACATGATTAGAGTGCATAATTCAATGTATTGAGATGTAAACATGACTAATGCCTTGTAGTATTCAACAACTTAACATAAACTATGGCTAATGCCTTGTAGTATTCAACAACTTAACATAAACTATGGCTAATGCCTTGTAGTATTCAACAACTTAACATAAACTATGGCTAATGCCTTGCAGTATTAGTAAAAAGGGACTATCCTCCGACCTTGTCAATTTTTCTCATTTGTTTCTTTGATCTTCCCTATTCTTCGTGTGGTCGTTTCTCGTAGTCGACCGGTATCTCGTCGGCCCGTATCTCGTTGACCGGTTCGTCCCGTATCTGGTTGACCCGTCTCAGATTGACCTGACTCTGGTTGACCCGTATCTCGTCGGCCCATATCTCGTTGACCGGTTCGTCCCGTATCTCGTTGACCGGTTCGTCCCGTCGCTGGTCGACCTGAGACAGGTCGACCTGCAAATAAGAAATTAGAATTAGCATATAATAATTAAGATAAATAATTTAATAAATAACTTACCGGAATCATAGGGGCAAGATCTTCATCATTATAGCAAAATACCTAACAAGACATAAATAATCCTTTAGTATCAGAATTAACATAAAATATGTTTATAAAAACTAATGATGAGTCTTACTATAAGGCAACCACCCATAATGGCCGGGATGAGAGGGATTATACATCCGGGCAAAGGAAAAGGGAGATAGTCCGTTTTCAACATCCGTCCGAGGTATAGTATAAGAAAAAAACCGTAGATGCATCTCTTGACAATTTTCTTCACCAACATGATGGCTTTGATGGTATCTTTCCATTGAGCATTGGCATTGTCGATATCTTTCCTTTCAGCAATGGCTTTTTCGGTATCTTTCTTTTGAGCATTAATGGTTCTGTCGATATCTTCCCTTTGAACAAATTGGTCTAGAAAGATGATGGAGATGAAGAATACGTTTGATATGAAAACAACTAGGGCTAAATCTTCTTTGTAAAATAGGTGTCGACCCACTTGAAACCAACTAGAAATGCAATCAAATGTGATATCATTTTTTCCCGATATCAAAAAGTGGATGACATGATTCGATAGTTTGTTTTTATACCTGATGCTACACGCTAACATCAAACAAGGAGGAATCAACAATAAAATATATGTCATGACTTTTTGAACATACTGAATCTTAAAAAATTCTAAGAAATGGAAGGGTAAAGGAAACAAGTAAAGTGTTACTTGATAAACTAACCCATATAATAGACAAAACAAAACACCCAACAGTGGGTTTGCTCGATCCATCACTCCTTAAGAAAATAGAGAAGAAGAGAAAATGTGGAGTGAAGTTGAGAATAATGGATAACAAACTCTCTGTTTTATATCATTCTAATGGTGCCTGGTGGATACCACACCATGTTAAAAATAATGATCAATTTTGGAAACGATGTAACATTCAAAAGCTCTGGTATATATGTATGTTCATTATATTTATTTGTTTGGCTAATTGTAAGAGTAGAGATAAAGACGAAAAAGTATTGAAGATATGTGATTACACGCATATTACCCAGAATTTCAGACGAATGCATTAAAGCTTCATGCAGTAAAACAAAATTGTTTACCTTGTTATAAATATACAGGAGCAATGAAAATTGAACCCTCTTTACCATTCGGTCAAGGGTCTCACTTGTGTTAGTGTTAATATATACATATAAAAAATTAAAAACTGATTAAATATATTATATATATACTATGTTATTTTTCAAGAAAGTGGGTTAAGCCACCCACTGTAGTCTTGAATCCACACTGCAATTTTCAATCAAGTAGAAGATATTAAACTGTTGCTAGAGCCTTCTGGAAAATAATTATAATTAAAAATAGCCACAATTTCTTTCCACTGACAAAGATGTGAATGAAATCAGGCCACAAACCTCAAGCTTTTCCATATCATCATCAAGCATTAAAAGCACTTCACCAATTCCCTGTTTTAAAATATATCTTTCTTCCTTCAAAACACAACTCTTTGATAAATAAAATGATATAAAGTACAACACAACACAAAACAAAAAACATATTTTTCTTCTGCATCCTCTCTTTTTGGTTAGCAGGCAGACTCAAATTGCTAGAAGAAGATGAGAAATATCCCCCCCCACACACACACACACAAAGAATTGATTATCTCTCATCACTCCGCGCTATCCATCTATGGATATACTATGTGGTTCTTGTGCATGATGGGTTGGTTCTAATCCGAGTTGTTACTAATCGTGAGTTTCTCTTTTTGTGGAATCCCTTAACAAGAGAATCAATACAACTTCCCTTTCCCATATTTGGAATAAGGAATTCTACTTTTGGATTGGGATACGGCCCAACTATTTACGACTATAAGATACTTACGATTCACAAACACAATGTGAAAAAGCGCTTCGTGGAGAAATAATGTTGATATGAAGAAAAGGTTTGGTTTTAGGGATCCATTGTCATTTGTAAATGGAGCATTTCATTGGATTTCTTGTTGATTTGGTGTTGTTTCATTCAATATTTCAAACGAGGTATGTACCGTTGTCTCAACAAATGTACTCTTATCTTTCCCTTTCTACCACAAAGGACAATCATGTTTCAGTTTTAGATCGAATGCTTTTCTTTTCTTCGACTTGTAAGGTTGATGGGGAGAATACTTTTGTGAAAAATGCATATTATTACTGTAATTCAACATCCTATAATTATTCAACTCTAGACCTGACACATACAATAATTCAAATACATCTATCACTATGTAATTAAAATATTAATATTTAATAAATTAATTAATTTTATTTTGATTTAGTGGAGGGGTAGAATGGTAATTATTATTATATATAGAGAGAGATTATAGATGATAAATATTATAAAATTATATATTTAATTAAGAATTAATCTAAGAAAGTCTAAAAGTAAAAAATTAAAGTGTAGTTGTTGGCCTTATATTCCACCACTATGTAATTAAAATATTAGTATTTAATAAATTAATTAATTTTAATTTGATTTAGTGGAGGGATAGAATGGTAATTATTATTATTATTATTATTATTATATATATATATAAAGAGAGAGAAAGAGAGAAACTATAGATGATAGAGAGAGAGAGCGAGAAATTATAGATGATAGAAAGAGAGAGAGAGAAATTATAGATGATAAATATTATTAAATTAGATAGTTAATTAGGAATTAATCTAAGGAAGTCTAAAAGTAAAAAGTTAAAGTGTAGTTGTTGGATTTCATTTTCCACCACTATGTAATTAAAATATGTAGAATGGTAATTATTATTATTATATATAAAGAGAGAGAGAAAAGTTATAGATGATAAATATTATTAAATTAGATAGTTAATTAGGAATTAATCTAAGGAAAGTTAAAGTGTTGGACTTCATTTTCCACCACTATGTAATTAAAATATGTAGAATGATAATTATTATCATTATTATATATATATATATATATTATTAAATTAATTAGGAATTAAATTAGATAGTTAATTAGGAATTAATCTAAGGAAAGTTAAAGTGTTGGACTTCATTTTCCACCACTATGTAATTAAAATATGTAGAATGATAATTATTATCATTATTATATATATATATATATATATATATATATATATAGAGAGAGAGAGAGAGAGAGAGAGAGAGAGAGAGAGAGAGATTATAGATGATAAATATTATTAAATTAGATAGTTAATTAGGAATTAATCTAAAGAAAGTTAAAGTGTAGTTGTTGGACTTCATTTTCCACCACTATGTAATTAAAATATGTAGAATGGTAATTATTATTATTATTATTCCTAATTAACTATCTAATTTAATAATTTTTATCATCTATAATCTCTATATATGAGAGAGAGAGAGAGAGAGAGAGAGAGAGATTATAGATGATAAAAATTATTAAATTAGATAGTTAATTAGGAATTAATCTAAGGAAGTCTAAAAGTAAAAAAATTAAAGTATAGTTGTTGGACCTCATATTCCACCACTATGCAATTAAAATATTAGTATTTAATAAATTAATTAATTTTATTTTGATTTAGTGGAGAGGTAGAATGGTAATTATTATTATTATTATTATTATTATATATATATATAAAGAGAGAAAGAGAGAAACTATAGATGATAGAGAGAGAGAGCGAGAAATTATTTCTGCTTTTTTCTCCATTACATATTCTCTCCATTTTCCCAAGTACACACTTGGATGGATGCCATGTGTCATAATTAAAAACTAAAGGTGGAGATTTATTTTTTATTTTAAATCTCCACCTTTAATTTTTTATTATGACACGTGGCTTTCATCCAAATGTGTACTTGGGAAAATTGAGAGAAGAAATAATGGAGAGGGAAAATTTTTATAATGGTAGAGGTCCAACCAACAATGCTTGTGTCAGGCTCCATTCTTCTTTTGCCACTTGAAATTCCAAGTAGATTTAATGTTCTTGCATGTGAGTATTTTGTCATGTTTTGCTTTAAATTTGTTTCAATTGTTGTTGAAAGTTTTAGAATTGCAGATTTATTTTCTCAATATTTAATAATTTATTAGATCTTCTGAGACTTTCGGTAGTTTATCTAGTGTATATATATATTAATTAAGAGATAAGTGAATTGTTGAGATTTTTTCGATAGTTCAAAATAAGTGAACTATTCAAAATTAGAGAAATTTTGAGACTTTTATATATTTAACCTTCATTTATGAGATTCTTAACTACTTCACATTTTTTAGTCTAATAGTTAGTTTGAGGATAATCATAAGAGTAATAGTAGAAACTAACATTTTATTCATGTCTTTAAATATATTTTTTAAAGAAATATCTCATATCCAAATAATTCACTTAATATTTACTAGATAGAGTATATCAAAAGACATAAATGAGAGAAAAAAAATCAAATTTAAATTACGGAAAAATTATGTAGCTAAGCAAACTCATACTACTTAAGTAGTCATCATAGCTATAGTTTTCTATAATTACCACTCCCCACTAACATTAATCATTAATAATGTTCTGACTTCGAGTTTGTATAATTAGCCACGTTTGTATAATTCGTCACATTTGTATAATTCGCAACTAACAATTCTTCGTTTGATTTGTATTTCTATACGATGGTTTGTATTTGTATATGACGATGATTTTCTTTGGGTTTTCAGTTTTATCACCATATACATTGAATCTTTTTATGTATAACTTTTTAAAGTTTGTAAACGTGTAATTTTTGAATTTTGTATAATATAATTTATATAATGTAATTTGTATGATATAATTTGTATAATTGTTTAAAGTTCATATATTTATGTATGTATCAATTTGTTATAGTTCTATTTTTATCATATTTGTATAAATTCCAGACTTTATATTACTCAATTATACAAAACACGCAAATTATATAAATGTACCCGCGAATTATTAAAACGAGATACGAAATATACAAATTATTGCCCTCTCTCGCTCGCCTCTCTCCTCCCTCTCTCCATCTCGCTTGCCTCTCTCTGTCTCGCTCGCCAGATATACAAATAATATGTATACCAGTTACATATATACGATTATCTAACTGATAAACATATATAATTTACCTCTCTCCCTCTCTCACTCGCCACTCTCCTCCCTATAACATGTAGCTACGAATCGTAATTAACAAACTATAGCTATGAAACGTAATTAAGCTATTTTTGAGTGGCTATATGCGAAAGTTCCCCATTTACTCCTTCTATTTAATTTGTAATCATGGGTTGAACTAATGAGTCATATACAAGCCCATATGCTATGCTAATTCTTTGGGGAAAATTTTCAAAATGTCAATATTTTAGGGATCTCTATCAACATTTTCAATATTTATTAAAAATGTCAATATTTTAGTTGTTATTCTTCTGATTTATGTATTTTTTATTTGTTTGAGTTGAAATAATAAAATTATTTAATAACAGAAAGGAGAAAATCATGGGAGAAAATCTTTTTTTAAAAAGAACAAACCACTTAAAATTCTCATCAGTTATAATTTCAAAAGTAATTGATTGTATTCATTCCAATATGATGATATGTGTATTTGTATTCAATATGGTTTTCATGTTTGAGTTTGTATAATGACATTTATATTTCTTTATTAGTTTGTATTCATTCTAATAGGTATGCCAAATGGATTTGTAGTTATTTAGAATGATATTTGTATCCACAAACAAAACTATAAATAAAATATTTGTTTCCATATATACTTATGTAATCTGTGTTCATTCAGAAAGGATACAACATTGGTTTTGTATATTTTTCAAAAACGTATATTCTTTTTCAA